CAACCTGACGACACTGGAGGACAGGAGAGATAGGGGGGACATGATAACGACATACAAAATACTGAGAGGAATTGACAAGGTGGAGAAAGACTGGATGTTCCAGAGATTGGACACAGTAACAAGGGGACACAGTTGGAAGCTGAAGACACAGATGAATCACAGGGATGTTAGGAAGTATTTCTTCAGCCACAGAGTAGTCAGTAAGTGGAATAGTTTAGGAAGCGATGTAGTGGAGGCAGGATCCATACATAGCTTTAAGCAGAGGTATGATAAAGCTCACGGCTCAGGGAGAGTGACCTAGTAGCGATCAGTGAAGAGGCGGGGCCAGGAGCTCGGACTCGACCCCCGCAACTTCAACTAGGTGAATACAACTAGGTGAGTACACACCTCACTTTACTTTGAACACCTTCAAAACACTCTCATACATCATTTGAGACCACCTTTTCTCAATATCTCTCATCCACAACCTTTATCATCTCACTACAGAACAACCCCAGAGATTACTTCGAACACTCTCATAAATCATTTGAATACTCACATAAACACCTTTGAACATTTCCAAACAACACTGAAGCACTTCCAAAATATAATTTTGATTACTCCCAAATAAGATTTATCACTCTTTTTTATCTACACTTACACATTTCATTAACTGAAATTACAACACATCCACCATACTACTCCCTCAGTCTCCAGACTTTACAACATTAACACAAACTAACTCAGACACTTATGACATGAGACATTTTACCAAAACTAACACAAACACATATCTGTTATATCTCCAAAATCAGGAGGCGGGGGCGATCCGGACGACGCTGCAGAAGGCGCAGCAGAAGGCACGGGTGGGCGCGAGGGCGCAGTGGGCGGGTGGGTCGGCACGAGGGCGAGGGTGGGTGGGGGCATGGGGGCACGGGCGGGGCGTGAGGGCGGGGGGGGGCGGGGTGGGGGTCATGGGGGCATGGGGGTGCGGGCGTGGGGGGCACGGGTGGGGGGGTCGTGGGGGCATGGGGGTGTGGGGGTGCGGGCATGGGGGGCACGGGGGCATGGGTGGGGGGTCGGGGGGCATGGGCATGGGGGGCACGGCTGGCGTGGGTGGGGGGCCGTGGGTGTGGGGGGGGTGTGGGTGGGGTTAAGGTCATTAGCATATATGTGTGAAAAGGAGCCACTCAGCCGCAGCCCTTTCAGGAGGAGCCATACTGTGGGAGCCACCACTCTGTAGAATGAGCCACTGAGCCGCCTTCATCACTACTCATATACTTGTAGAAATAGATATTATAATGTACGAACCACAGCCCAGCTGGCGAGGTCGGCTTCCTCTTAAAGATAGGGGTCTTTTGGTAATCCCCCTTATATAAGTATGCTGGGAGGCAGTTGAACGGTCTTGGGGCTCCTGACACTTAGTGAGTTTTTGTGTACTCAGCCCCGAACCCCTGCTTTTCATTTGGGGATGTTGCACTGTTTGCCGAGTCATTTGCTTTCGTAGAGTGATTTCTGTTTGCAGATTTGCGACTAGTCCCTCTAGGATTTTCTATGTGACTTAAGATTTTTTTAAGTTGATATTGTGGTTATACCGTAATGCCATCTGCTCCAATAATTTTCGGATAACGGGATTTAACTACACTGGAATCTCGATTTTGTTTGCCCATTATACTCGAATGAAGTAGAGAGTCTGAGGAGTGCTGGGGTATTTCCTGTTCTACCCATTGCGTAATAGGTGATATGTTCCCCGTTTCATTCATTTGTTGTCCCTTTCCAATTTCTCCCCCTCTGCCTTTCGTTCCTCTCCCTCTGCCCTTCATCCGTCTTCTGTCCGATCTTACTTGTACTGTGGTAGTTTCAAGATGTTCTCAGATGTGACTTCTCATAACTTAAGTTTACAGTTCTGACTGACTGTAAACACAATTTGTAATGTTTTTGCCCTTCTTTGCACATGTTGCTACCCATAGCAAAGGAGATTTCAGTTCACTCTTGCTGCTTCCAATTCTACCAGTCTTTAATTTGTCTGCATGAGTGACATACACACAGTACTAACTCTGATTGTTAAGTATATGAACTGCTGGAAGCATCCCTTCATATCTGATGCATCCTTCTTTATTATATAATGTATATGCAGACTGTTATGAACTTTTTGATTAAACATAATATGGGCATTACCAGAGAGCAAGTTTCAGACATACATGTTTACTATGTTTTGGTGTAATTTTTTAAAATCTAATTAAATTCAACTCATACAGCGTATTTGTCTTTTAAATAAGAACCTTTATTTTGTGCTCGTATATGCAGTGATTTTTTCTTGTGCATGAAATTTAACTGTTTTTCATCCCACGTCTTGATACTTTTTCTTTATATTTAATATTTTTTATTGTGCTTGTACAGATAAACATTAAGGTGTGTAGTATAATCAACATTAATAAATAATACAGTATCTATCATTAGTGACATTGTCCTCAAATGACTATATATTGATTCAGCTAAACAAGTCACCAGGCCCTGACGAGCTGCTTTCAAGAGTTGTAAAGGAATGTGAGGAGGAACTTAAGCCATGAGCCAGTCTCTTAACAGATCACTACTGGCAGGTATCGTACAGGATAAATAGGTAATGACAAAAGTGATTCCCATTTACGAAGTGGGGAATGGGGCCTTAGCTGCTTCTGGTGGACCAGTCGGCCTATCCTCAATTGTGGGAGAGTTGATGGAATGAATGAATTTCTGATGCAGTTAAAAGCAAGGGGGCAGTCTAACCCCTTTTCACTTAGTATTCAAGATAGTAGACAAGGATAAAGATTACTATATTGTCTAAATGGACCTCAATAAGGTCTTCGATAAATCTCCACACTGGAGACTGATTAATTTAATAGTGGTCCAGGGTCGAGGCATGGCTGACCAATAGGCAACAATGTTTGCAGTAATGGGGAGAAATTGGAGTGGTGAGCAATGAGTGGTGTGTTACAAGGTTCAGTGCTGGGACTCTTGTTCATAATCTGCCTCAACAACATTGATGAGGGAATAAATAGTGACACAAGTTTGCAGATCTCTAAAATAGGCCCTCAAATAATTTCCAATATGGACACTAGAAAGCTACTAGATGACCTGGATTGGTTGATGTAGTCAGAGAAGTGGCAGCAGATGCAGTTCAACACGGTGTAGATTATTATTATAATCAAGGGGGAAGCGCTAAACCCGGAGGATTATACAGCGCCTGGGGGGGGGGTGGAAGGCATTCAGGCTTAATTCGGGGAACTGGAGCACAGATCCAATTCCCTAAATCAAGAGCCCCTTACCAACATCAAGGAACCTTCCTTGAGGGGAACACGGTGTAGAGCTCTGAAAGGTACAACCCACACTTGTGATGGCTGAAACTTGACAATGTTTCGGTCCGACTTGGACCATTACCTAGTCATGCAGAGAGAAATGAAGGGAAGGAGCCAGAATATGTATGAGAGGGGGATGGGAGATGTAGAAATGGAGGAGGGAGTATCAAGGTACGTAGTAGTGGTGATAATAGTAGTAGGAGTGCAACAGTGATAAGAGGTGGCAGTAAGAAGGTAGTAGTAATATTGAAAAAAAGGGGCACAGTGGAGTGTATGCAAAGTAATAGTAGTAGTAGTGGTGCAGGTAGTTTAAGGAACAAAAGAACAGAGGATCACTGTACGGTTGTAATCCTAGGAAAAGAAAACAACTATGGCATATCAGCTAAATAATGTACAATAGCTTTTAGTTAGTTAATGCAATAAAACCTAGAAGTCCTAATGAAATTTAAAATCACGACCGTGGTATATGTTTTTTCATGTCTTGGCTTCATGTAGAGTATAAATAATAGAAATCCCTAAGCTGTACCTCAACTTTATATCTATGGTCAGACCTCATTTAGGTTATGCTGCTTCATTAACCATGGTGAAATGATAGTCACTGGTGGACGAAAGATCTTCAATAAGTATGCCATAATCTTGTGCACATGCTGTCGGTATAGTCGGCCATTGTATTGCTGTCATCCAGTAGGCCTGCTGCAGTATACCTGGAGTATACCTGGAGAGGGTTCCGGGGGTCAACGCCCCCGCGGCCCGGTCTGTGACAGTGCCTCATGGTGGATCAGTGCCTGATCAACCAGGCTGTTACTGTTAGCCACACGCAACCCAACGTACAAACCACAGCCCGGCTGGTCAGGCACCAACTTTAGGTGCCTGTTCAGTGCCTGCTTGAAGACAGCCAGGGGTCTATTGATAATCCCCCTTATGTATGCTAGGAGGCAGTTGAACAGTCTTGGGCCCCTGACATTTATTGTGTTGCCTCTTATCGTGCTAGTGGAACCCCTGCTTTTCATTGGGGGGGGGATGTTGCATCGTCTTTCATAGGGAGTGATTTTCATGTGTAAGTTTGGTACTAATCCTTCTAGGATTTTCCAAGTGTTTATAATCGTGCATCTCTCCCGCCTGCATTCCAGGGAGTACTGGTTGAGGAGCTTCAAGCGATCCCAGTACGTAATTGAAGTGCTTTATCGCAGTTGTGTGTGCTGTGAAGGTTCTCTGTACATTTTCTAGATCAGCAATTTCACCTGCCTTGAAAAGTGCTGTTAATGTGCAGCAATATTCCAGCCTAGATAGAGCAAGAGACCTGAAGTGTCATCATGGGCTTGGCATCCCTAGTTTTGAAGGTTCTCCTTATCCATCCTGTCCTTTTTCTAGCAGATGCAATTGATACAGTGTTATGTTCCTAGTTTTGTTTTTTGTGTACTTTTTTTTTTTCTTTGAAAATTAATATAATATTTTTTGTTACTTGGAATTGGCTAGAATATTTACTAAAGCAGCTAATTTAGTAAAATATCTATTTCAATGAATAAGTGTTAGATAAGTTTTGCTCAAAAAAACTGAAAAACTATAATATAAACTGTGATCATGATGCCAGCATTTTGATACTGTATGTACATGCCTGCATTATCCCTTACCCATGTCTAATTATATTTGCTAATACATAATCTAATCTATGACTTCATTTTGCAGGTTTGATGAGCTTCACTATGGGAAATATGCAAGTCTTTACATGCAGAACACTTTCTTTTTTGACTCTCAGCCACCGCTGGGAAAGCAGCTTATCGCTCTTGCTGCCTATATAGCAGGCTTTGATGGTTAGTTCATGTTGTAACATTGAATAATAATTTTTAGTCCAGCATTAATTATCAGCTACCAGAACCATCACAAACTAAAGTTACTGGCAGCACACTACATGCTTGTTCAGGCAACATGCTACACATTTTTTAAATTCCTTAACCTGCTAAATATTTATGCCTTGCATATTACCATGCAGGCCTCATAGAACACTACATCGCAGTGCTGATCCAAGATACTTCATGGAAAAACTAACAGAATGCACAGGGCATCCCATTCCAAATACAGTATAGTACCATTTGAATCTCTCTAGAAATCAGATGCAGATTAAAGGGCCAAAAGTGTGGAGTAACTTTGCAAACATAAATCATAGCTTAATTCCAACAATAACTTAGATTGCATGTAATATATTTCCTTAATTTTGTGACCTTTTAAATTTCCATTACTTCAAAAATATAAATTTCACCTTATTCTGCAGTTTATTATTTTTAATTGTACAGTATGTAATGCCTCCAAATATTATTACATTATTTTTTGCCTTTTGAGTTAAATTTCAATATACATATAAATTTTTATTTTAATGTCTTTTACTAAATGCTTAAGTTCCACTAAAATCTGTATCGCAGTTTTATTTAATTTTTTATTTTGTGTTATACAGTAGACTTGCACAACATGGTAGTTAGGTTCCTGATGACACTTGTACATGAAATCCCTGTTACATAACTGAAGAACACTTTGGAAAAACAAGGATAATTTCTTGACTTTCAAAAAATTGTACAAATTTACCTAAAATAATTTTCTTGCATTATATTCTGGTTTGTGATACTCGTTGGTCTTGACACGTGTGGAAAGGATTGATGAGGCCCTAATGGGCTAAGGTGGATGGCAGTTGCTCGGTGAGGGTGATTGCTGTGGTTCTTGGGTTGCGATGGATGGCTGTGGTTGTAGAGTTGGTGTCAGTGCAGAGTTGTCGGTAAAAGATTGTTGTACTGTAGTTCTTGGGTATCCTGTGATGTCTGCTCTGTTTTGCACTGCAGTTTGTTACTCAACTGCTAAGGCATAATTACTTGCTCCAGAGTGCACTCTACAGCCATTCTTCTAGATGTATCATGGCCATTGTCTATGCAGAAGTCTGCAGCTTACTAGTAGTATGCAGCATCACTTGTATATCTTGGTGTTATGTGTAAATTTTATTTGTGCTTTTCTATTGTCTGCCTTCCCTCTATCATGGATAACAAAGACACAATACCATGTCTGGAACAGTACACAAATAGCCCGCACATAGGAGAGGGGAGTTTACGATGACATTTTGATCTGACTTGGACCATTTAAATCGTCGTAAGCTCCCCTCTCCTATGTGTGGGTTATTTGTGTACCTATCTTGGAATTTAGCTCCTCCAACATTTCTTCTGCAGTTATTTAGTTGTAATAGTGTGTCTTCTTGTACATCAAAGCCCTTGCCTTGCCAGGGTGACAGTTTCCCTGGACCTGATATTGAGGGGAAAACCTGCAAAATTATTCACCACACTAGGCCATACTCTTCCCAATCTGCATTTATTATTGATTGAGGGACTTCATGTCATGCAATTTTTCTCATTTATTGAATCTACATTATTAAATTAATGCTGGAATTTTGGCATTGATGAAGTTGAGGTATTTTTGGGGGGTAACTAGTATGACCCCTTCTTTACCTCTGCAGTTCAGAGCTAAATGACTACCTGAAAAAGAGCTGCAGTTCCTAGATCTGCAATGTAAATATCTGAAGAAGTTAAGATTTACTTTGTGGCTTATGACATCATAGTTCTAGTATTAACTAGACCTACTATATACTATGACTTCACTCAGGTTTGGATATATCAGTGCAAAATGAGACTGCTGGATAATGGGTGACTAATAACCAGTTGCTAGATAACCAATGACCTGCATTCAACAAATTTCATAAAATTTCTTGTCCTAAATTTTTTCAGTATCTAGTCCATTCTTTTCTATGGAAATTAATGCAATACTTTCTTTTTTTTTACCTAACTAAGATTCATTCTCAGTAGCTTTGTAAAATATTTGTTTTTTTATCATGTAATTGTAAGCACTTGTTTATTGGAGGATTTCTTTTTTCAGGCAACTTCAAATTTGATCGCATTGGTACTCCATATGATCCTGTTGTGCCAGTATCAGCCATGAGAATTGTACCTGCATTTTTTGGGTCCTTGCTAATGCCCACAGTATACAACACAATGGTAGAGTTGGGACTCTCGCATTATACCGGAGCCCTTGCAGCATTTCTCATGATATTTGGTAAGTAAACTGATGCAAACTGTAATTTTACTTTGAAATGATCAGCAACCTCTACTGTTGAGCAGATTCAAGATATATCTAAGTGCTATAAGTTTCCTGGTTGCCTTGTTTCCGAGATTTACTATGTGGTTCTTCATAGTCTGTTTGGAATCTCATTTTGTCCCAAGGATATCAACCTCATCCCCAGGTTTCAACACTCCCATTCATTTTTAACCCTTTCAGGATCCATCCCGTAGATCTACGGCTTTACGTTCAGGGTCCAAACCGTAGATCTACGTCATGAGCTCAGCTCACTCTGATAAACTGTGAGTGGTAAATTTGGGCCTAGATATGAGAGAATACATCTATGTGGTATGTGTGCACCACATAAAACAAATCCTGCAGCACACTGTGTATAATGAGAGGAAAAAAACTGAGACCATGATTTTCGATTAAAACAGCGACTTTGCAGTCGCTGTTGTATTTGTGATTTCTTGGTCTCATTTGATAGAATGGAAGACATATTACAGAAATAGAGATAATTTTGATTGGTGTTAGCACTGGAAATGGCTTGAAATTGAGCTCAAAGTGGCGGAAATGTTAAATTTTTGCCAATGTTCAAGAGTAAACAAACGACCTCACACGTCTAATACACGCCAGCTGGTGGGTCTAATATACATTCACAAATGTGGTGATGATATTTATACAATTATTACAATATTGCATAGCAGTAAATCTTCTATTTTTTTGGTGTGAATAAAAATTCATTATGTGAATAAAAAATCAAAATGGAATTTATTTGTAAAGCCTCAAAACATAACTAATGAACAGAGGAAATGTTAGTTTAGTGCCAGGAATACCTACATTGTTTATTCTGGACCCTATTTTGAAATTGGAATATTTTGAACTTTGTGTTAAATTGGCCAAATTACCAATTTCCGGTCACTTTATTTTGTAGTTGAAACAGTTGACTTGGCGATTTCTTGTGCTCAATCGATAGAATAGAAGTAATACTAGTGAAATAGCTGAGAATTTGGTCGACTGGAATATTGTAATTGGCCTAAAATGGGAGTCAAAGTCGGCAAAATCGCCGATTCGTAAATATCGCTGACACATCAAAATTCACGAGAGCATAATTTCGTCAATTTTCCATCAAATTTCGTACTTTTTGTTTTATTACATTCACAAAAAGATTCTCTACCATTTCATAAGAAAAAATAACAATTTTTTTTTTTTTTTAAATTCTTGGACACTGGGGCACCACTTCAGATTTTGGCCTTGGACCCTGAAAGGGTTAAAATTGTTCCAGCATTACAAGCATGGTGCCTAGAGACATCATTTGTTTTCTCATATGCAAATGTAACCTGCCATAGTTGACCTATTCAAATTCAATTTCAAATTCAAATTCCTTCATTTTCTTGCAAGTTTACAATGTGGTTGACATATTTTAGGAAGTGCATCCATGTGCGAGTTTTTCCAGATACGAGCAGTCGCTTGGTCAGTTTTTTGCTTCCAGACACGAGTGAAATTTCCAGATGCGAGCGGGCTACAACGGAGATTCCTTGACGCTGGTGAGGGGCTCTTGCTCTTGATCTAGGGAATTGGATTTCAGTTGTTTATTGGACTATCTTATTGAAACTTGGGCAATGTATGATGGAAAGTTGCTTCTTAGCATACACCAAAAATGAAAGAAACCGGTCCACAAATAACGGAATTCACTTCTCAGCCATTAGCCTCCCCTTAGCGGTATATTTTCATATGGTTTTTATGATTGTATTCTCATTTTTTGGTCTCATTTGATAGAATGGAAGATACACTACAGAAATAGATATGATTTTGATTGGTTTCATGAAGAAAAGTACCTTGAAATTGAGCTCAAAGTAGCAGAAATGCTTGATTATTTGGCGATGTTCAAGAGTAAACAATGCCTGTCCGATTGGCACTGCCCCTCAACCTTCACATATTGGAAAGCTCTTCAACATGCTAGCAAAAGTGGGAACAGACATCATGAGGTAGCAGACTCAGACAACATGAAGCAGCAGTGGCAGACAGCATGAAGCAGCAGTGGCAGACAACATGAAGCAGCAGTGGCAAAGTGTGGCATTAAGAGTGTAGCAATTAAGTTTAGCATTAAGAGTGTAGCAATTAAGTTTAGCATTAAGAGTGTAGCAATTAAGTTTAGCATTAAGAGTGTAGCAATTAAGTTTAGCATTACGAGTGTAGCACTTATAAGTCACCGTCTGACTTTTTTGGGTTATCCTAGGTTCTCTACACATGTAATCAGGAGCAGGAATGGCCGCTGTGGTGGCCGTATAAACCCCAACAACAACAACGCCTGCTGTCACCACCACTAGCCACATTCGTAATGACATGCATTTTATTCATTCTAGTGCATGTACAGTGGACCCTCGCCTAACGAACGCATCGCATAACGTTAAATCCACCTAGCGATACATTTTAATGCAAAAATTTTGCCTCGGCTAGCGCTAAAAAGCTCGCTTAACGCGATTCGTTCGAGACGCGTCCACGTGCGGCCTGACCCCGCCTCGCTTGTTCCGTGGGTGCCAGTGTTTACAAGCCAGCCACCGTGGTCGCTTCCAAACGTACAATCAGAACATTTCATATTATCACAGCCTTTTTAGTGATTGCACCTGCAAAATAAGTCACCATGGGCCCCAAGAAGGCTTCTAGTGCCAACCCTACAGCAAAAAGAGTGAGAATTACTATGGATGTGAAGAAAGAGATCATTGCTAAGTATGAAAGTGGAGTGCGTGTCTCCGAGCTGGCCAGGTTGTACACAAAACCCCGGTCAACCATCGCTACTATTGTGGCCAAGAAAACGGCAATCAAGGAAGCTGTTCTTGCCAAAGGTGCAACTTTGTTTTTGAAACAGAGATCACTAGTGATAGAAGATGTTGAGAGACTGTTATTGGTGTGGATAAACGAAAAACAGATAGGAGATAGCATCTCTCAAGCGATCATATGTGAAAAGGCTAGGAAGTTGCATGACGATTTAATTAGAAAAATGCCTGCAACTAGTGATGCGAGTGAATTTTTAAGGCCAGCAGAGGTTGGTTTGAGAGATTTAAGAATCGTAGTGGCATACATAGTGTGATAAGGCATGGTGAGGCTGCCAGTTCGGACCACAAAGCGGCTGAAAAATATGTGCAGGAATTCAAGGAGTACATAGACAGTGAAGGACTGAAACCCGAACAAGTGTTTAATTGCGACGAAACAGGCCTGTTTTGGAAGAAAATGCCAAGCAGGACCTACATTACTCAGGAGGAAAAGGCACTCCCAGGACATAAGCTTATGAAAGACAGGCTTACTCTGTTGTGTGCCAGTGCTAGTGGTGATTGCAAAGTGAAGCCTTTATTGGTGTATCACTCTGAAACTCCCAGAGTGTTCAGGAAAAACAATGTCCTCAAGGCTAATTTGTGTGTGCTGTGGAGGGCAAACAGTAAGGCATGGGTCACTAGGGACTTTTTCTATGACTGGTTGCACCATGCATTTGCCCCCACTGTGAAAAATTACCTAATTGAAAAGAAATTAGACCTTAAGTGCCTCCTGGTATTAGACAATGCTCCTGGTCATCCTTCAGACGTGGCAGAGCGACTTTCTGCTGAAATGAGCTTTATTAAGATGAAGTTTTTGCCTCCTAATACCACTCCTCTCCTGCAGCCCATGGACCAGCAGGTCATTTCCAACTTCAAGAAACTGTACACAAAAGCTATGTTTGAAAGGTGCTTTGTAGTGACCTCAGAAACTCATTTGACTCTCTTAGAGTTTTGGAGAGATCACTTTAGCATCCTCAATTGTGTAAACATTATAGGTAAGGCTTGGGAGGAAGTGACTAAGAGGACCTTGAACTCTGCTTGGAAGAAACTGTGGCCAGAATGTGTAGGCAAAAGGGATTTTGAAGGGTTTGAGGCTAACTCTGGGAATCCTATGCCAGTTGAGGAATCCATTGTGGCATTGGGGAAGTTCTTGGGGTTGGAGGTTAGTGGGCAGGATGTGGAAGAGTTGGTGGAGGAGGACAATGAAGAACTAACCACTGATGTGCTGCTAGATCATCTTCAGCAGCAAGAGGCCACACCTGAGGAAACTGCTTTGGAGGAGGGGATAGAGAAATTGAGGAAGTTGCCTACTTCAAAGATTAAGGAAATGTGTGCAGTGTGGCTTAAAGTGCAAACCTTTTTTGATGAAAATCACCCTCACACAGCTATTGCAAGTCGTGCTGGTGACTATTACACTGACAATGTTTTGAAACACTTTAGGAATGTCATAAAGGAACGGGAGGTACAGGCCTCTATGGACAGATATGTTGTGCGACAGAGGTCCAGTGACTCTCAAGCTGGTCCTAGTGGCATTAAAAGAAGGGAAGTAACCCCAGAAAAGGACTTGCCACCTCAAGTCCTAATGGAAGGTGATTCCCTTTCTAAACATTAACACCATCCACAGTCTCCCCTCCTCCCATCCCATCAATCATCACCAGATCTTCAATAAAGGTAACTGTCATGTAACTGTGCATGTCTTCTTCAGTTTGTGTGTATTAAAATTAATATTTCATGTGGTAAAAAATTTTTTTTGTTCATACTTTGGGGTGTCAGGAATGGATTAATTTGATTTCCATTATTTCTTATGGGGAAAATTAATTCACCTAACGATAATTTTGCCTAACGTTGAGCTCTCAGGAACGGATTAATAGCGTTAGGCGAGGGTCCACTGTGTTATTAATATTGTTCATTGTCATATTTCATGAATTGTAATAGATAAATAAGCCGTAGAGTTGACATTAGGGAAATTATTGAAGTATTTTCTTGTACCTGGAATACCACTGGAACGAATTAATTCCATTTCAATTAATTTAAATGAGGAGAATCCAGATGTGAGCAAGGTGATAGAACAGATTAAACTCATAAGTAGAGGTTCCACTGTATATTTACATAGGTTTTCTTCTTTCTTTTTAGTAGGCTATACGGGAAAAGGTTACTAGCCTATTGTTCCAGCATTTTAGTTGA